CAACCCTCAACCCTCAACCCTAAACCCTAAACCCTAAAACCCTCAACCCTCAACCCTAAACCCTCAACCCTCAACCCTCAACCCTCAACCCTCAACCCTCAACCCTAAACCCTCAACCCTCAACCCTCCATCAACCCTAAACCTCAACCCTAAACCCTCAACCCTAAACCCTCAACCCTAAACCCTAATCCGAGTAAACCCTAAACCCTAAACCCTAAACCCTCAACCCTAAACCCTCAACCCTCAGCCCCGAACCCTCAACCCTAAACCCCAAACCCTAAACCCTAAACCCTAAACCCCAAAAATCCTAAACCCTAAACCCTCAGCCCCGAACCCCAAACCCTAAACCCCAAACCCTAAACCCTCAACCATCAACCCTAAACCCTAAATCATAAGCCCTAAATCCTAAAACACTAAACTCTAAACCCTAAACCCTAAGTGTTTGGTGTTTTGGGTGTAAGGTTTTGAGATTGGGTTTAGGCATTAGGGTTTTAGCATTAGGATTTTAGGTTTGGGTTTTGGGCTTAGGATTTAGGGTTGGGGTTTTGGCATTAATATTTTGAGATTGAGGTTTTAGCATTAGGGTTTTAAAATTAGAGCTTTTAGTTTGGGGTTTTAGGCTTAGGGTTTAGAGCTTAGAGATTGGGGTTTTGGGATTAGGGTTTTGCAATTAGGTTTTTTGGGTTTAGGGTTTTGAGATTGGGATATTAGCATTGAGATTTTGAGACTGTAGTTTTGGGTTTGCAATTTTAGGCTTAGGGTTTGGGGTTTTGAGATTGAAGGTTTAGGATTGAAGTTTTGCAATTGGATTTTTAGGTTTAGGCTTTTGAGATTGAGGTTTTGGGTTTAGGTTTTGAGTCTCTCAATAAATAATAAGATAGTCTCTTGACAAATAATAGAACAAAGGCTAACCTTCAATTATTGAAAGGTAGCCATATCGCATACATTTACTTACTCCCCTCCTTAGGTGAATTTCTGTCAATATGATTCTACAATAATTCATGCTTACACATATAGCATGTTATAAATCACATTAAGGTGCTTAATAGGCACTAGCATGCAATAAGCTAAAATCACAAGCATCATCTCACATTTCACAATCATCATCTCATCAGATTTAAACATTTGCCATCACATTAAGCTTATTTTCAACTACATATATCTCAATTATCTCATATAAGCACACAAGCATACGCATTGCTTCCCCTTGCATTCACGTTACATTTATACATTTCACATTAGTCTAGCATTACATGGAATTGATAATTCTTGCTAAACTACAACATATATAAATATTTCACCATCACAATCATAATCAAGCCAAATCATCATTTTTCTAAAAATTTATGTTATCACAACCCTTATACAATTTAATTTCACATGTTCAAAACACATACATTTAATTCACAATTAATTAACAAATAAATGCATAAACTTATATTTCTCCCAATTATCTCAAACCTTTAAAAAGTTAAAGGTTTGTGCCTCAAACAAAATTGCTTCCAAGGCTAGTTCTCAAGCTGAATTGTGCATGGAATGATTTATTTACAATTAATCATACCCATAACCATTAATATCACTATTGACACAAATTTAACTCACTAACCCAACACTTTAAATACCTGAAGCCTCTATCTCTTGTATTCAAGCTTATCAATTCGGTTTATTGGCCCTCTTTAGTTCACTTTAACTCTATTAAACACTTTGCTCACCATTTAATGAAAATACAACCCTTTAGTCAACATTTCATCAACCCAAATTCCTATCCTTTTGCATTTCAACCATAACCATTGAGTTTGTTAACCCCTAATGGCTACATCTAAAATTAACCCATAATGAAGTCAACTCCCTCATTAATGACACTTTTAGGGCATAAATTCATTCATTTCAGAGAGCCTACTCTCATAGATGCTCAAAATCATCAAAATGTGTAACACACCAAATTTTTTTTTTTAATAATTTAACTCAACCATAATTGGGTTACAGCCACCCAACACATTTTTATATCAATAATTTCAATATAAAATATTTTATAATTGGCTTCAACTCACACACTATAACATTTCAGATAAATTTTTACCTCCCACATGCCATTAGGCTAAATCACATTTGTCCATCCTTATACTCCCAACAAGTAAAATAAGCAATTTATTAAATTTTCAACACAAGCCAGTTATTTGGCCTTATAATCATGCCATTTTAACTAATCCAAAGTAAATCAAATATTAAAATTACAGTCATCCAAATTATACCAAAAATAGAAATAGTTTGAAAGGCATGATTACATTTATATATTCATATAATTGACAATAAACAAAAAGCCCTAATATTGACAATATAACACATTATAAATCATAAATTAAATACCCAAAAGAGACAGTGGATCTATACCACTAAGCCTCTGGGACTCCTCCACGTGTCACTCGTGGCTCTTCTCCTAAAAATTGTTAACCACATAATGAGACTCAAAAGTTCCAGTAACCAAAGCCAATTTATGATAGTGTATGCAAACAGTTAAGTGTGTGCTTACTAAGTGAGAGTTAAAAATAATATAATTCCAACAAATATAAGAAATATTACAATATACACAAACAACCATCCTTATATCCCTCTATTAACCTCGAGCCGTAGCCCTCACTCGGTGCTAAATTACCCGGCCAAAGGTAAATTAGCCCGAGCCCTTACAAGCCACCTATTGAGCTCCAATAGGGGTGTACCACGTGGCACATAAATACAACAACAATGGCAAGTCTCCCAACACCTCCCACAATAATCAAACAAATTCATAATAATATTGCACAATATACAATATAAAAAAATTCATAATTTTCTCAATAATCACCCAATTAACATGAAGTAACACTAATCATAAATTAAAAGCATGGTTACCTCGTGGCTTTTTCAATAAATTATTCCTTAAAATTTCTCTCTCACCACAATCTTCACCAGTAATACAATCTACAAATAACATATTATTTATAAATAGTGGTTTCAATTTTTTTGAAACTAATAAAATAATTTTAATAATAGAATTAAAAATATAACATAATTTTTAATCTTGATCTTAATACAAATCTAGAGTCAATACTATTAAGTAAAATTTTTAACTCCTCTTTTAATTATCAATAAACATTAATAATCTAAAAATCAACTTCTAAACTAATTTTTATTATCAAAATTTTCTTTTTATTTCATAAATTCGTACCTAAAATACTCAAAAATTAAAAATTAAGTCTCTAGCGTAGAATCATAATCCTATAGCCATAATAATTCATTTCTCATCCCAAATAATCATCTAAACCTCAATAAATCAACATATATTTTCAGATCTAATCTAGAATTTGATCCATAAGCCACAAATTCAAAGATTACTAATAAATTTATACTCTAGAATATTTATTTATTATACTACTAACAACCTCAAAAACCATATTTATTCAACATAAATTCATCCATCTTCCAGATCTTAAATTTTCTACCACTATAAAATCAGAAACCAAAGAAGAAGGATGACTAAGAAAAAATTTTAGAACACTTACTTAGTCTTAAAAAGCTTAAAATCACACCCTAAATATCCTATTAAAAACTCTTACCTTAAAAACTCAGATCTCCCGCACCGGTGAAACTAGACGCTCTTTCAGTCTCAGCTCACGCACACGAAGAATGAAGAAAGGAAAGGAAACGGGTGAGTTTTTATAAAAATTCAGTGGGTCCCACACATTTTTTTTATTCTTTTCTCTCTCTTGTTTCTTTCTTTCTTTTTTTTTTTATTATTATTATATGTAATGATGGAACGCGTAAACGCCGAAAGCAAAACTCGTTTTCTTCTTCTTCTTCCTTTTTTTTAAATACCCTTTCTTTTTTTTATTATAATAATAATTTAATAATATTTTTTTATTATTTTTTTTAATTAATTTTAATTTTTTTTAAATTAAATTTTTTTTAAATTTTAATTTAGAATTATATCCTAAATTAGATTTAATAATCATCTCCTACTAATTTGCTTACCTCTAAATATTTTTTTTAAATTTCTATTTATCAAAAATTAACTATTAAAAATTTAAATTGGGATGTTACAAACTTAAATTTAGTTAACTCAAACTACTCTCATAAACTCTATTTAAGTTAATAGATTCCAACTCATAGCCCTATAAATTTGAAAATCCATCTCCCACTACAAAACTCTAATTTAAAAACTCTTAAAAGAGAAGGAGAAAGGAAGAGAGGAGCTTAGATAGCTTATCTTTAGTGTTTACAAATTCCAAAAAATACTCCCAACACCTTGAATCCTGAAGTCCTCACAGAGCACAAAATGTGCTCTTCATTTTCTTCCTCTTCTATTTTTTAAACTATCTTGCGCTCTTTCTTATTTAAAATACAAACCATACGTCGTGGCACACACACATGTACTACGGCGGATGGCATAGAAGGGAAATTCTCTTCTTTCAAGTGATGCATAACAGTGCGAGCAACACATGGTGCGTAGCACAACAATTGATATTCAAAGTTTTCTTTCTCTTTTAAGGCCTAACTTTGCTCTGGAGCCAATCTTAAAGTTGCAACTACAATCCAATATGCTCATTAGCTCTTTCTATCCATCATCTAACCCAATTTTACCAAATCACTCTCAATTAATTTATTTAAATTGGGGAGTTAAACTTCAAGATATTACATACGGTGACTATGTATGGTGATAAATTTGACCGGTAATCCTTCATTGGGATGCTCAGTAAAGTGTTGAAGTGATCTACCCCCAAAGTATAATTTTGTTTTGGCTTGAATCTTCTCAAAAAATTTGTAGCATGTATTGTTATGCTCGATAGGCAGACCGTAAGTTGACGAGATCACGAGAGGTGAAAGGAATATTAATAATAAAAATGTGCCATGTATTAAATATTTTATAAAGATGTAAGTAAACAAAAGTTTTTTAATAATAAAACAAACCAAAAACTAAAAACTTGTGAGGGGGAAAAACGGCATCCAGAAGTAATTAATTATTAAAGTTAACCCAAAGCGAAAGCAAGGCTCGGCGAAGCAGGGAGAGAACCAGAGAGGAAGATGAAGAGCGCTTCTGGGGCGGGTACTGGTGGTCTGGGTGGAGTTCCTTCATATGCCTTCCCTTCGAAAAGACGATGGAAAGGACTGGTAATTGGGGTACTGGGTCTGGTTATCCTTTCCATGCTTGTTCCTCTCGTGTTTTTGCTTGGCCTGCACAACGGCTTTCAGTCTGCTGGTACTCTGCCGATGAACTCTCTTTAGTTGCTTTTGCTAGCTTTTGAAATCTTCTAGATCTGTTTTCTCGTTATTGTTCATTAATGTCTCTGGGTTTCTTCCTGTAGTTCTACCTAACCAGAGAATGCTTTCTTTTGATTTGCAATGCTCTTCTATATTGCGGGTAATCTTTTCCCGACGTTTCAATTGATATGAAATCATAATTAAGAAATCGTGGATATGATCTCTGATCTGCATCGGACTTAACTTCCTGCCAAACTTTAGTCGGAAAAACAAAAGGAAAAATACGTCGAAGCAATGTGCGTTTGTTTCCTTCTATGTACCAATATCATACGTTGTTAGGAAGGCAGTATAACTCAGATCGACTTGTATATTTCTGTTCCTGTTGCCTAAATAAAGTTTCATTGCTCTGAAATTCCATCCCATGCCTCCCAAAGAAAAAAAAAAAAAAAGATGCGATGTTAGGGTCAATGAGGCCGCCTTATTTTTGTTAAATTTTCCCCACTCTCAAGATTTAATTTCCACTGTGCAGGATATATATATGAACGACAAAGTTCTCCTTCAGTAAGCATTCAAACATATCTCTGAATCTGTTTAAACTTTCCGTTCCGCGTGCCTATCTGTTAATACCGCTGATGTCCCCCCGGGTCTTCTTTTCTACATTTGTTTATTTTCTTATTTATTTATTTATCAGAATCGTGATGGACTTGGAGGATATGATAGATCCAGTATCAAGAACATGCCGAATCAGTCTGAGGTATTCTTTTTCTTTTTTTAATACACACACACACACACAGAGGTTCTTTATTTTTTCCAGAAAACTTCTGCTGCATGTACCACTATATATTATAGCGGGTCTTAGATAATCCAATGCTTAAACTTTAAGGTTGTTAAAAAATTTTAGCAAATAGTTTAATTAGTATGCACTATTATATTTCTCAAAGTGAAGAATAATGGGGCTTAAAATTCAATCTTTTGATTGTACTTCCTGTGAAGTATAAAATTAATGCATTGCTGGTGCATGAGCCTGAAGAATAATGGTGTTCAAAGATCAATCTTTTTATCACACTTGCTGTGAAGTATAAAATTAATGCAGTGCAGGTGCATGAGCCTGACGGGATGCAAATTAATACTCCTAAGCCAGTATGTTATCTCCCAATAGCCTCAAATCAAGGTTTTTTTTCCCCCTTTTGCAGGGAGAACGGTCAACCCATGTTGAAGAGCTGATGAAAAAGTTTGAATCAACAATTCCAAAGGTTCTCTGCATAATTCTCTGATGTTTAGTTCTTTTATTTCTATTTGATGAATTAAATATATAGGTAATACTTGTACAGTGTTATTGATGAGCAGTCAACCCATCTCTGCTTGAGTAAAGTAATACATTGATATTAACCACTTGTCCTACCTCCAGTGGATCCTTGTAAGCGTCTTCTGTTTAGATTTCCTTTATTAATTAATGAAATATTCGAAGAAAGACATTGATAATATTAAAAAGGGCTCTTTGATCCCTATATAGGTTGATTTAAAAAGCAATTTTCTCTCAGCGACAGCAAGGACAAGATTTTATATAAGAAATTGGCCTTTGCTCTTGCCATAACCTCAGAACTTGATAAAAAAAGACATTGATTCAGGTGCTAAGGAAACACTAAAGATTTCCGATGCACACAAAATATTTTATAGTGTGGATGTAACGACTTATCAGGTGATGTTATAATAAATGAGATTTTATTCCAAGTTAGATTCAGCACATGACACAATTACCAAGAGACTAAGCATTGTCTTTTGGCCAACAGAGACAAAGAATTGTCAATCCTGCAAACTTGTAACGTATCAGTACCATTGTTCAAATAGAGGACCTGGCATAAGAGGAAACTTTTGGCTTTTTGAGGAACTCTTCAAGAAGGACATTTTGTTGCTAGGACAATTGGAAAGAAAATATAGAAGGAATTATCTTAGAATACTTAATGAATCATAGCTTTGCAACTTATGTATATTAGAACAAAATAAATAAAATTCAATCCAAAGCAAGAAGATTGTTGGCATCTGTTATAATTAATGGGTGATTATTTGTTTATTGATGGAAAATATAATGGTATTATTCTTCCCAAATATCTAGTGTGAATTGAGATGTAGCATCATAAGTGTTCATCAACCTACATGTTTCTTCCTCACTTTCTATTTCTCTCTTCCATTTATGTAATTAGCTGCTAGCAAGGAACAAAACCTTGCTCTTTGCCCGCATTGAAGGGTATTGTGATTTAATTTCCGGTGATGCAATCACAGCACTTGTCAATCTTTATAGTACCAAACAATTATGGGAAGGCAATTGAGCTAGCTTAGTCAAAGTGTGATTACATGTTTCTTCCTCACTTTCTGTTTCTCTCTTCCATTTACCTATAGACATGGTAGGCTTCTCTAAAATTTTGGTTGTTGCTATAGTGATGAATGAGGTTGTGAATGCATGGACAGACAAGAAGGCCATAGTATAGTTTTTAAACTGGACTTTGAAAAAGCATGTGTCAGTGTGAGTTGTAGCTTTCTAGATAAGGTTCTTGCTAGAATAGATTTTAGCGATAGATAGTGAAGATGGATTTCAGGTTGTCTTTTTGAGTCCCTTTCCTTGTGATTATGGATGTTAAATGTGAATGTTGGTTTTGAGGTCAGAGAGGGCTTAGGAAAATAGATCTGTGTTCCACCTTTTCATTTATTTTTATGAAGGTTTTGAATCAAATGCTTGGGCTAGGGCTATAGATTGGGTTTTGATCAAAGATCTTGTAGCTTCTTCAGCAGAAATCATGGTTTCCGTTGTAATTTGATGATAGAGATCCTATAAGAATATGAAACAAAGAACAAAGATTCTATATTTTTAAAATCTTTTACATTATTTTAAGCCTATAGATTATCCAAGAGTAATGTGGCAGAGGTAATGTAGATAGCCAAAATCTTTCTTATTATATTATTTTTAGAGGTGCTGCTTATTATAGGAAAGATAGGATTTTAAGAATGGAGGATAAGACATACTCCTAATCTTCTATTTCAAGCATATGTGGTAACTTTAGCCAACAACTTGTCCCCATTTTTTCTTCCCCTCGTTATCCCATTCTATTTGGTCAACTTCTAGATCTCTCACACTATCTTTTTTTGTTTTTGCGTTGTATTTTAGCGCTTGGCCTATGATTGCATGGTTGAGAATATTGTGCTCGTCTATTTGGGATAGCTGATGTTGGTAATCCAAGTTAGACACCACCTAACCTTGTATTTTTCCAAGCTAAAGCAATTGTGAGTGGGTTATCTATCAGATTATTGCTGAAGACAGCAAGTGTAAGCATGACCTATGTAATTACAAGCTAGAGATTTGCTTAAAGGGCTAACAGTCACACGTCACCTTAAACACAAGTAGCAAAAGTGTTGCAAGACTGTAGAGGTTGGTTGGGCTGCAACTATGAGTGAATGGATTGTGATCAAACGAAGTGCAACGTTGAGTTTGTGACAACAATTCTTAGTCTGTTGCTAGGAACAGAGGCAAAAATGGTTGTCTTAGACATCACAAATACCAAGAGGTGCAAAACAAGTTGAGCGGATAGATTCTTTAGCATTGACAACAAGCATAGCCACATAGGGTCCTAGTTTGGCACACAAGGCATAAAAAAATTTTGCAATGCTATAGGCCATTCAAGATCATTTGATTGAGGATTTGAGGTTGAGGTAGATGATTGGTGTGATGTACCTTTTCCTTCCACATTTTGTTGCTGATTGGCTACTATTGCAAGTTCGGAATTTGTATGCTGCATTGCTGGGTTGATTTGATTAGATCTAGTTTGTTCCCCTAGTTGTCCCATATCACTTGTACCACAATCATGATGGTTATGTGGAGGGTCAAGCTGAGTTTGGGATTGGTCTAGTGGATCATCAAGTTCAGCCAAGGCCTGGAAATATGAAGGTTGGATTTAGGTGAGTTGAACATTAATGGGTTAATGGCCATTCATTATGCATATCCTCTCTCTCCCCTTGAATGGGCATTTTGGAGTAAAAAGGTTGGGGTTCATCAAAAGTGACATCTTTGGAGTAGAAATACTTGTGAGTAGGAGGATGGTAACACTTATACCTTTTTTGAAAGGAAGAGTAGCCTAGGAACACACATTTAAGGGCATGAGCAACAAGCTTAGAGGAATGTGAGTGGTTAACATAGGCAACCCATCCAAATGCCTTTAAAGGAAGAGGATTGAAGAGGTTGCTAGAAGGAAAGTGGTCAAGTAAAGTCTGAATGGGAGTTTTGAAGTTGAGAATTTTTTAAGGAGAACGATTTATAAGGTAAACCCCGTAGTAGAATAAGGCTTGTTATTGTTGTTGTAATGATTTATAACGTAAACTGAAGTGAGGATAGCATCACCCCAAAAAGTCTTTGGTGTAGTAGAACCTATTAATAGGGCACGGGTGACATCAATAATATCATGATTCTTTCATTCAAAGACACCGTTTTGTTGGGTTGTATAAGGGCATGAGCTTTGGTGATGGATACCATGTAAGGAGAGATATTTAATGAATGAGAGGTTGAAATATTCTTTTGCATTGTTTGTGTGCAAAGTTTTAATTTTGATATTGAAATGTGTTTCAATCAAGGTTATGTCATATGATCAGTGGCTCCCGAGTCCACAATCCACATATCAGAAGAATGTCGAATAGTGGAACAAGCAACAAAAATTTTACCTAATTTTGTGGCCGCTAATCCAGTAGCAGTACTCATTTTTTGGTGGTTTGTTAGGGTCAAACTGACTTAAAAGACTATGGAGTTGATCTACTTGATCCTTCAATTGAGAATAGTCAAGAGAAGAAGGTTCCTCACCTTGTGCTACATAACCTCTACTTTCTTGACCATCCTTATGACCCTTGTTTTTGTCATTTTGAAGGTGCCCATGAATTTTTCAGCACTTATCGTGAATATGACTAGGTTTATTAAAATGATCACAAAATGGCCTATCACCTTTCTTTAAATGATTATCACCCATAGCCACTGTAGCAAATGATTCACCAATAATAAGAGCAAAATAACCATCAAAGACTCACTTACGACTCTCCTCCCACTTAATGGCGAAAAGAACTTCTCGGATAGTAGGGAGTTGAGAAAGACTTAGGCTAAGAAGAAACTTATATACTCGCTCAGTCACAACTAAATGGAGATAATATTGAGCATCTATAGAGCAAGACCATATGTGGACTTCATACAAATCAACCTGTTACAAGAGTTGAGTAAGGTTATTGTAGCAGGCTATAATAGTCATAGTTAAAGGCAAAGGAGTAGAGTTCTTGAGCAGCCTCCCAAATCTCAAGAGTTGTTTTGTAAAGCATAAAATTCTTTCCAGTTTCCAGAGTCATGGAGTTAATTAACCATGACATAACCTGATTATTTTCAGCCCTCCATGTTCGGCATTTTGCATCAGTCGTTGTAGGTTGAGTACCTCAGCCATCGATGTAGTCCTCTCACGACCATGAATGAACATTCAAAAGGATTAGGACCATTAAGTTTGTGGCTTGTGATGAGATTGGAAAGATCCCTTGAGTGGTGTGACGAACCTGAACCTTGAGGATGAGTAGAGGAGTTTGATGGATCAGCTTAATGTGTAACACGGAGTCATGTGTCTTTATCTCTACAGTGATGGCTTGGTATCTTGCAAATCATAGGAGAGAGTCAACCATGGTGAGTCAAAATGTGGAGGGAGAGTGCTATTAGAGGTCGTCCACTCACATGCACAAGAGGAAGTGCACAGCGTCCAAGAAACAAAGCTACAGCTTTGATACCATATTATGGCAGAGGAAAATAATGCTTTACTTCAATTTTATTTCATTAGGTGAAGGATACATACATAGGCAGCGGCAAGGTTATAAGGAATCACGATAAAACCTAATCATATCAATATAAATCCTAAACAATTGAAACTAATGATGACAAAATTATTTTGATTAAATGAAATAAACTAGAGTACGGGCTAGGCCCAAGCCAGCCTAATCACATTAACTTCCATTAATGATAAAGCACAATGGGTTATGCAATCCATATAGCCGACCTTATCCATTGTTGTTGTTATTGTTGTACTCTATTTTAGACTTAGGCATCCCATATTACCTATATCCATGTCAATTGGCCTCCATTAAAGAGTTGATGTCTTGAGGGTTGCAATTTTTGACAATTCACTTGGTGATAATTTACTCAACTTCCTTGTTGGTCAAAACTTTTTGGTCAGTTAGAACCCTTCTAGAC